AGTTATGTCGTTTTTAACACATTCAATCTACTGCAGCTAGCGCCCTCTATGAACTTTAACCAAAATGTGAACAGATTTCAATTCCTCTACTCAACGAACTCCAATCCCCAAAATTTTGTGAGGATATTTGCATTTGTTAAGGAATAAATAAAAAAAAACTGAAATAATATTTTACATTTAACACCCTGTATCTCTTTAAGTATCAACTTTTGGACTAAGGTAAGTTCGGCTAAATCGCAATTTTTATGCTTCGAGAATCTACCCAGGAATTTTGACCTATTAGCTCGGGACCACCCTGTATACAATTTTTTTATAATTATATAAAAAATAAATTTAAATTAGTCATATTTATTTTGAAATTTCGGAAATTTAAACAAAATTTTTTTTATTCATATATTTTTTTTATTAAATGAAATTTTTCTTCTACATCATGCGTAAGTATTGAAACCGCAAAATTTTATTGTTTAATTTTGTCGCACAAGCAAAAAAAACCGATAATTTTGTCGGACAATTAAATTCTCAGATTAATATTGCATTTTTTTAAATAATGACACTTTTGTCCGACAGCTGGTTATCACCAAACATGTTGTCGTTAAGTCGACATCTTCGGGGCGTCGGACTGCAAAAACTTCTCAAGAATTTTGTCGGACAATAAGATACTTTCATTTCAAATCTTATTACCAAACCCTCCCAGAAAAATCAGCTTGCTGGTTGCCACCAACCATAATGTCACCAAATCGTCATATTTGGGGTAGGGGACAAACTTAAAATACCAAAATTTTTGTCGGACAAATTTTTTGGGGGGTTTAAAAAAATATATCTTTCATTTAATCTTAAAAAAGTGCTGGTCATAACATTCCATGTCTATGCCAGATTGACATGTTTTCCTGAAAATCACGGGAAATACGCCATTAAAGTTTGGCAAAATTTATCATTAACACCCTGTGTACTCGTATCTCTGAAAAGTTAATTAGAAAAACGTAAATACGAACTACTTCAGCTATTTTCTGAAGAGGAACTCACCCCCTTTTTTTAAGTACAAACTGGACACCTTGTATATACAAAACTGGCCCCTTTTTAGTATAACGGTTACTCGAGTTACCTGTTCAAAGGCATTAAGGTGATTATGGTATTCTTCGTGGTGATTCTCTGGGCCTTTGCCATCCATTTCTTCGTAGGCCATTACTTCAAACATTTCAGGGTGCATTCGGAAGGTGAATGGGGAAGCGAAATATTGGAGAGCTTCTTCGACGCCACCATGACGCTCTTGCTGGTCAGCATTTTGCAGGACAACATAAACGACATCCCCGAATACATCAACGCCATCCTCTTCCTCTGCTTCGGGTTCGCCTTGCAACTGTTCGTGTACGGTGAGTCGATGTCCTTTCGCATAAAATCATTTATACGCGTTTACTATGCCCAAGTAGATTCAAGACAAGACGGAATTTGTTTATGGGGCAATTCGACCAATTCAGTTAGTGTTTTTATTGCACAAAAGAGAATCATCCGTTGCATGTTAAAAATCTCAGACAGAGAGTCATGTAGACAATATTTTAAGGAATTAAACATTTTACCCCTTCCCTGTTTGTTTATATACGAATTATGTGTTTATGTATATAGAAATAAGAAAAGCATTGACATTAACAAAGATAAGTACAACTATAACACGAGACATGCTGATGATCTTAGAGTGCCGTTTGCCAAACTAAAACTAGCCCTGAATGCTCCTTGTTGCTTGGGTCCAAAATGTTTTAATCGTTTACCAAACGACGTTAAATACTGTTTGTCTGTAAATATTTTTAAACGAAAGTTAAAGCTATATTTGCTCGATAAATGTTTTTACA